AGAATCAGACTAAATTAGCTACTACTATAAGCTTGTATAAGCTTGAGCCGGAGCTACTATTGGAATAGGATTCTTTAATTAGTTCTGTAGCCATAAATCGGTTCCGATGATGACAAATCCTCTTTAGTATTCAGATCTGCTACTGCATAGCATTCATTCTCTTTATGATTGCCAACTTCTTCTTGATTTGATTGAATTCCTTCCTAGGATTTGATTAGGAAAGTTCCGCTTCATTTCCTTTTTATGTTCAACTATGTTACACTTCAACTCATTTATAGTGAAACTCATATGAGTTGAACGTAGTGAAGTTTCACTATTCGTCTAACTACGTTCAACTCATTCGTTGAACTATGTTACCTATGTACTTCACATAGTGAAACTAAGGAACAGCAGATTGAACTGAAAAACGAACCATGTCGAAAACGAATTCCAACTGACGATGTTGAAACGAATGTTGAAAACGTTGAACGAACAACTCATTCGACTAAAAGGAGAGGTACGACCATTCGTTGAACTATGTTCAACTCATTCGACCAACGGGAGTCGCTAGAGAATTCGTTGAACTATGTTCAACTCATTCTCATAAAATTATTCTCCTAGATTAGAATAACTCATGCTCGACCTACTCGGACTATACTTGATTACCATACCCTATATTCATTAGCAACATATGAAACTCTCACAAGAAGGATGGTTCTCTTAGCCGTTACGTTAGGGTGACTCGAGAAAGCTTGAAAGGGAATTCCGAGAGCCCTTAAGCTTGAAGCTATCCTGAAGGAGGAATCCGAGTTGTAAGCGAGTTGTAAGTAAAATAAGGAAGATTGTTCATCAGCGCTTTCAGTAACTATCAGTAACTAAAATGCGTAATCAAGCTAATCTCATTCCTTAGGACCTGGAGCAACCAGACACCAGCCAGGTAAGGTAAGGAGCCTTTCAAGGCAATAGTTAGATTCTTCTCCTCCGGGCTATCGACTCGAGATGCTTGCTTTTACCTGCTAACAAGACTGGCTTTTGTGGGGAACAATTAGCTATGCACCAAGCATGGTGAGGCGGCAGATCGGCTCTAAACAATTCGTTCCTGTAACATATGAGCTGGGCAACTTAGATTTCCTCTCCCGTAGGTCGAGTGACTTCGTACCTCTCCCGTAGGTCGAGTGACTTCGTACCTCTCCCGTAGGTCGAGTGACTCCCTTTGGTCGTACCTCTCCCGTAGGTCGAGTGACTTCGTACCTCTCCCATAGGTCGAGTGACTTCGTACCTCTCCCCTCTTCGAGCGACTCCCGTTGGTCGTACCTCTTCGAGCGACTCCCGTTGGTCGTACCTCTTCGAATGAGTTGAACATAGTTCAACGAATTCTCTAGCGACTCCCGTTGGTCGTACCTCTTCGAATGAGTTGAACATAGTTCAACGAATGGTCGTACCTCTCCTTTTAGTCGAATGAGTTGAACATAGTTCAACGAATTCTCTAGCGACTTCGTACCTCTTCAAATGAGTTGAACATAGTTCAACGAATGGTCGTACCTCTTTCAAATGAGTTCAACGAATTCTCTAGCGACTTCGTACCTCTGAATGAGTTTCACTATTCGTTGACAGAGAACAGAGATTCGTTGAACTATGTTCAACTCATTCGAAGAGGGACTTCGTACCTCGAAGAGGAAGTAGCAGGTATTGACAGTTTGTTAAAGACGCGAAGCTAACGAGAGGCTAGCAAGCTTCGTATAAAGCTCATCCCCTTTGTTGTGGCTAGGGGCTAGGGCGGGAAGAATGCGACGTTGTATTATTCTCTTCCGAACATTTCCTGAAAGTAGACGAATATCATTTAGAGTTTACGAATCCACATAGGGGCTATGGGAGTCGAACCCAAATTCTTCCACAACCCCCTTTCCGTCTTCCTAGCAGCATTGGTCTTTCGTTCTTTCTCTTCGGGCAATGCTAAAGAGAAAGTTCAATTTCTTCTCTTATGAGATTTCTACTATAGAATACTATAGAAAAAATTGAGTGATTGATATCAAAGAGAGTCTTCACTCAACTAATCTACTCGTAGAGTGCTAGTAGTAGCCTGTGTGGTAGTTAAGACTTCGCTTCCCTTAAAGCTATGGAATCCCACTTGGAATGCAAAGCATTATTTTCTGCTTAAAGAAGCAAGGGGCCCTCGACTAACTTCTATCCTTATGCCCTTCCATAACCGGAACTGGAACCATTTCATTTCCTTGTGATTACGAAAGAAAGGATGAGAATGTCTATCGTGAAGAAATGGGAACTCTCACCGAGAGAAAGGATATGGCGACCATAGATAGTATAGATAGTAATGTGCAAGACTCTTTCTTTCTGCCTTAGGTTGGACTAGCTATGGCATCGATTGCGACTACGACTAAAGAGACCATTGAAACGGCTGATCCATCTGCAGCGGAAACCGAAGAAATGGTAGAAAATTAGTAGAATGTTCCTGTCCTTATCCCGCTCTTGCTGAGGCTTTCTGAATCCCTCTCAACGCTGGGAAACCCTTTTTTCCACTACTTTTAAGTAGCTAAGAGGCAAGTCTGGACTCAAGCGAAAGATTTCTTCCAGTTCCAGCCGTATATGCTTTACCAATAAGAGAATACCCAGATTGGAATGGAATTTGGCTTGACCAGTAAATCCAGATGCTTCTTTCGCTGGGAGACGTAGGTTGGAACCCGACGGTCGGTGGACCTCAAAATCAAATACAAAATCAAATAGTAGATCCAATCCCTTAAGCCGTGTCCTCATTTGCTTCACTTTCTGGACCCTCTTCATTTAGCACAACCCGACTCAGAATTCGCTTCATTTGTTGAAAGATTTCCCCTTTACTTACTCGTTAACAGGACCATCCGCTTTTCTCTATCTTCCAAAGGAAAGACCTAAGATAAGAAGATTCGTTTCAAATGAGTTTCACTATTCGTTGACAGAGATTCGTTGAACTATGTTCAACTCATTTCGTTTCAAATAGTGAAACGAATCTCTGTTCTCTGTTCTCTGTACATAGGTAACATAGTTACACTCATTCGGGATGGATTTAGGAGTCTTTGTGCGAGCCGTATGCGGTGAGAGTCACACGTACGGTAACGAGGGGGGTTCGCGTCTGGCCTACCCACCCTATTTGTTCCATGATCTATGGGTCTACTGGAGCTACCCACTTCGATCAATTAGCCAAGATTTTGACCGGATACGAAATCACTGGTGCTCGATCTAGTGGTATTTTTATGGGGATTCTATTTATCGCTGTAGGATTCCTATTCAAGATCACTGCAGTTCCTTTTCGGGCGGCTGTAGGATGGACGGCCGCCTATAGGTGGTAGGGTAGGGTGGGTGGTACCGAAA